TGTTTTGTGAAAACACGTTTTCGTTGATACACGTTTTGTAGACACTTTCATCGACACTAACGTTTCATCGTCCTTCGTTACGCGAAATGTACGCTGTAGGGGTATTTTGTCGCGCGTGTATCTCTGAAACGCGTGCTCACCGACCCAGCCCACCCGTTCACGTCGCTTCGTGGCGACAGTCTGCGGCGGCTCATTACAAAAATGTTAACCCACCTCTCCCACCCGTACGCGTCACTTCGCGGATACTTTCTGAGACGGCTCATTACAAGAAAAAAAAGAGAAGCTAATTTAGGAAAGCTAATCTGAGCTTTCTATTAAACGTCGTTCAATGAATGAACGGCGGCTGCCGGTGGAATTTCGTGGAAATATTCTGCCGGCTGCTTGGAGAATAGACACTACCAAAGACTCACTCCCGGTTCTTATTTGCTTAGTAACCTTCTCAGTTGTGTAACATCTTCTTCGTACCTCTTCACATATCACGGATTGCTTGCAAGTTTGTACTTGTTTACGGAATAGGCTGTCTAATAAACTTATTCTATGAGATTTGAAAACAATCCCGTGTGTCCGTTCACGTGCCTTTTTGCAATCACAGGAGCGCATACATTTTTTAAGGTTTCCTTGGTGTCTTATATAGGTTTATGAAGTTAGTTATGAAGCGAGTCTATAAAGTGGCGTGACCATGCACCTTTGAATCGGGTACATCTGCGTTCTCTACGAATTGAGGGGGTGTATAAAGAGGTGTAACAGTACACTATTGAACGGGGTCCACCTGTGTTCCCTTTGAGAGCAGTAGCTGTAGAAAGGGGAGTAATGGTACACTATTCAGCGGGTTGCATCTGTGTTCCCTTTGAGTGAGGCGGGTTCATGAAGCCGTGCAATGGTACACCTTCGAAGGGGGTGCATCTGTGTTCCCTTTCATTTCATTGGGTGTAGAAAGAGGTGTAACCGTACCCCATTGAGGTGGGGTACACCTGTGCTTCGTTCCAGTGAGATTTCTGTAGAAAAAGGTGCACATGTCCACCACACCAATAAGTGTACATATACTCAATAGTGACAGATGGGCCAGTTGTTACATAATTTACTTTGACCAAATGCGCCGCAGGAGAAGGACAGAGTAAGTAAGAAAACACAAAGCGCTCCGTGTTGTCTTATTTACCCTGTTCTTGTCCTGCGGCAGATCTTGTCTAAATAAGTACACATACATTCTGGGTGTACAAGTATTCCCCCAAAGGGTGTAGCATATGTGACAAGCACTTACACCCCCTATGGGTGCACCCCACGACACCCCTTTTTTTAGAATGTGGTGCGCGTCCAACACGCAAATCAGTTTATTCGTGTTTATAGTGAAAGAGAATTGTCTCGAGATTGACGTACTCTAGTACATGTTTAAAGAAACTTAGACACAACCTTTTTGCCACCTCCCATTTTAGAGCGCAGCTCTTAGGGGCCCGTTCCCGGCTTGAGCGGCGTCGCCGTCGCCGTCGGCGTAACCAAGGTCATCCCAAGGTCACTTGACCCCCAAGGTCATCCCAAGGTCACGTGACCCCAAGGTCACCCCAAGGTCACGTGACCCCTCCCCAAGGGTCATCGGGGGTCACGTGAGTCCCCAAGGTCACCCCAAGGTCACGTGACACCCCAAGTCACGTGACCCCCGATGACGTCATCAGTGACGTCACTGATAACGTCACCGGCATCCGCATCGTCATCGTCATCATCACTGATGACGTCACCGGCATCCGCATCGTCATCGTCGTCATCGCTGATGACGTCATCAGTGACGTCACTGATGACGTCACCGGCATCCGCATCGTCATCGTCATCATCACTGATGACGTCACCGGCATCCGCATCGTCATCGTCATCATCACTGATGACGTCACCGGCATCCGCATCGTCATTGTCATCATCACTGATGACGCCATCAGTGACATCACTGATGACGTCACCGGCATCCGCATCGTCATCGTCATCATCACTGATGACGTCATTGGCATCCGCATCGTCATCATCGCTGATGACGTCATCAGTGCCGTCACTGATGACGTCACCGGCATCTGCATCGTCATCGTCATCATCACTGATGACGTCACCGGCATCCGCATCGTCATCGTCATCATTGCTGATGACGTCATCAGTGACGTCACTGATGACGTCACCGGCATCCGCATCGTCATCGTCATCATCACTGATGACGTCACCGGCATCCGCATGGTCATCGTCATCATCACTGATGACGTCACCGGCATCCGCATCGTCATTGTCATCATCGCTGATGACGTCATCAGTGACGTCACTGATGACGTCACCGGCATCTGCATCGTCATCGTCATCATCACTGATGACGTCACCGGCATCCGCATCGTCATTGTCATCATCACTGATGACGTCATCGGTATCCGCATCGTCATCGTTACTGATGACGTCATCGGCATCGTCATCGTCACGTGACCCCCTAGGTCACGTGACCCCCACCCAAGGTCACTTGACCCCCCCCAGTACCCTTGCCTCCTCCTCCTCAAGAGCTGCGCTCTAATTCGGCGTTACAGGGAGTTGTAAACGGCTTTCACTTTTTTCTCAAACGACTGTTCGAAAAGGAGTCTCCTGCTTCTGACCCCTGAGAAAGAACGTTCGGCTTAAAGTTGAACGTCTTGAAGCTATCCGCTTCTTGACCATATCCCCGAAATCCTTCTCCTTTAGGACCACACGTATAGCTTTCCTAAGTTTTCAAATGTTTCCCCCTTTTCACAAAAGAAGGATCCCAACCATTCTGTTGCCCTTTGTTCGAAAACTGACCGTTGTAAGCCTACAAACCTCAATATTGTCCTTTTGCAGCCATTTCAAGGACCTACATGTTAATTCTTTTTTCCTCGCTTCCACCTCCCTAAAATCTCTTTCTTTCGGGCTCAGCTCTCCACTGTGGCGTGCTAGATGCCTTTTGTTAGAATGGAGTGAATCCCTCCGAATTCAGCTTGCCTTCTAAACATATAAGTTAATCGTCAGAACGTTCAGACAGAGGCGATTAAAACAACTGTAATCATCAAAATAGCCCTTCTCCCCACCAAAAACAAAACAAACAAACAAAAAAAAAACACAAAAAAAAAACGGTGATTTCTTTTTTTTTTTTTTTAGAAGAACACATTACACATTGCTCAAAGCTCATTACCTGCCAAGATGTAGCGCCAGAGGTCCAATTCAGATGCCGAAGTTTGGTTATCTCACTAAAAAGGTTTACTTTATTTTCAGAAATTTTTATTGAAAAAAACGGCGGCTTACTGAGGCTTTCGGATACATGGAGCTGAATGATGCCGGTGCTGAAAAGGGCAAAAGCGGGCTTCATTTTTTCTTTGAAAGTTTCATAAAATCAAGTATAACTTTTGAATAAGTTAACGGTTCGCTATGAAAATGTTTCAGCTGTTTCCGGCCGCTAGCGCTACATATATGTGCGTAGAATGAGTATTCCGCGATGCATAGTTTAATCGTGCCATAAAAAAGCGTTGTAATTTTTTTAATGCACTGCATACTTAGTCCTAAATTCCTAAATTAGATTATATAGCGGTGTTTGTTTCTTTTAAAAGTTTGTTCCTGGAAAACAGCTCAAACGAATAACAGTCGAAGGAAAAAAAAAAGGAGTTTCACTTATCAGTACAATGTATATTTTTCGATCGACAACGTCAGCTTTTGTCGATCATGACAGACAAAGTTAAAGAAGACCGCCTGTCACGCATGCGCATTCGAGATGTTTCGATCCCTTGATATACCCAGCGTACATAAATCAATATCATGAAAAAAACGACTTCTCTTTTTGCAGACGACCTTGCTGGCTACATAAGAACGGTACACTCAAACTACCATATTTAATGCTCTTACATAGAAATCTCAGGTCGAGTATATTTTATGTTCCGTTATTTAAGTTCAGTCCAACATTCATGGTGACCTTTGACAAAAGAGATGAAAGAGCAAATTCAGTGATTTTTATGCTGTAGCAGTTTTATAATCGCTAGGCAGTGTCTCCGTCATTGTACTGATTGTACTTTTCTACCAAAGTGGTTGGTGGTAAACGGATGTTTGAAGGCATGAATGCATATCCTAGCGCGAATAAATCATTCTATGTATTGTTTGCTTTTGCATTCATGACGTAAGTTTGAGTGATGGCTGTAAACATTGGAATTATTGAAGGGTTACATTTGCCTGAAAGATCCAACATTTAATTTAAAAATATTAAATTTGTTAGTTACGTACGTATATAGCGCATATAAGATTATATAATTTTAACGATGCACTACAGAGACCTTAATTTCCTTTTCATAGGTGCAGTTGTAAAATTTTCTCACACGCACCGCCAGAAATAGCGTGGTAAGGCTGTATCCCCTTCTACCTTCCGTTCTCACCCTATCAGTGACGCAAAAATGCCTTACTGACAAAGCGAGAGTCGCATGGAGGAGTGTTAGTTGCACCGCCTCCAGCGCGAGCTTCCTAACTTCGGTATCACTCCGGCAGGTGGGAGAGATCATGCGCAACCAAACCACGACAGAAGGCAACCAAAGCACTCTAGAGGACAGGTGCTCGAAGAAGGCGCCCAGTTACCTTCATACTATCGGTGACTAAAACGAAAACTTGGGGGATGCTTAAGCTTCGCCTTTAAGAGTGGAACGCGATAGCGATATTTTGCCCCGTTCTCAAAGCCTTCTCATTAAACCCGCGCTCCTTCTTGATCTGTGCAAGCGTGTGCGTGGTCTAGACCAGAGCGTAACGTGTCACGTGACGTCACGTTTTTATTAAATTTTCCCGCCAAATTTAGCGGGAAATTTTCTGCTCAGTTTGCCGGGAATACTTTACGCTCAATATGACGCGGAACTATTCTGCGGAGCCACGTGTGACGTCCCACCTGGCTGCGCGCGCTGCATTATGGGCCCCGACGTTGCCGCCGACGCCGGAAGTTTTGCGACACGAGCTCCTAAACGTGATCGCGTTAAAACGAAATAAGCAAACGAGTCGAGTCAGTTCTAAAACATTTTATTCAACGAAGAACATGAAAAAATGGCCGTAGCCTGGAAGACTATTATTATTGAGCACTTTCCATAGCTTGTTTGTCAATAAAAACGTCGTTCCCTGAGCCTCGAAAGAACTCGCTGAGTCAGGCCAATAGGGATGAAAGATTGAGGTAGAAGCCAGCAATTTTTGTAAACCCTCGTACATAAATAGCGTATCCAAAAACCGTATATACACAACCATCAGGGTGGAGAATAATAATCAAGATGATTTAAATCGTGATTCAAATCATGAGATAAATGAGGCTAGTTTTATTAAAATAATTGAAATCAAACCTTTCCGCTAAAAGAAATTATCTAAAAAATAATTTTCCCTGATCGTTCCTTAGCATTTGATGTTTTTTACGCATTTGTTTTGTGTTAAATCATTGAATAAGTAAGCAAGAATGATTTAGCACAGGTTGATCAGAAGCACAAAGCAGTGGTCTTCTGAGCAAATTGGAACGTTCAGCTTTCTTTCCATATCTACTTCGTTCGACGAATACATAACTTCCTATTGGAAGCAAATAAGAACGCCAAAAAAAACTACCAATAGAAAAGTAACGTCATATTGCAAGAAAGCCAGGACGCAAAAGAAAAAGAAATAAAGCTTTTATCACTAACTAAGCATATCGAGCTATTTTTACTCCACTATGACGGGATTTACTTAATAAAAGAGGCGCTCATTAAACCGTACTCAAGTTATGGTAATTCTTCCGTATTTCTTTCAGTGACCTGAATGTTTGATCAGTCATACTGACATGTCTAACAATGCATTTCTAGTGATTAAAAAGCCCTGTTTCATAATTACAGTCATTTAAATAAAATTAGTATCATTTGAACCAAATAAATATGATATCAATCAAATACATCTGACAGAATAAAATAAATATGATTTAGTATATTTTTCTTAAAAGCAAAGAATTTTTCTCCACCCCGGCAACCATACCTTCAAGATATGTACACGTGCGTAAAAAAGCGCAAAACTGTTTTTTGCGAAAGAGCTAGATAAAGGCTATTTACATTGTTCGTATCACAACTTCACGTCGTTGTATGGCACATCCTCGTTTCAATTGTTCAAGTAAATTACGCGAGAAAATTGATACTAATATCTCTTCTATAAAACATATCTATACTCTCGAAGGAGGCTGGCGATAGAATCAGAGTTCTGCATTGGAGTTGCGGACTTGATGTCTACAGGTTCTCCTTTAGAAGCACCTGAAAAACAAAAATAAAGTCTTATTAGATATACAGTTAGCATTAGGATTTTGTCTAAGTTAGAGTGTTTGGGAGATTTATATGCGATGAAACTGGGAAAATATGGCACGCACGTTGTGAATCGAAAAGTAGTCCCCCACAAAATATTAGTACCAGCGGCGCAAAAAGACAAGGACAAAAAAAAGTGGAGGCACTCAAACGGACTCAGAAGTACAGAGTACCGTGAGTCTAGTCTTTTGTTCTCGTCTTTTCGCGCCTTTGCTGCTAGCATGAATCAGCAACTCGCCCGAGCGTCCACTTTATCAGATAGCCACTATGGGCCACGTATTAGTGATGACGTGACGCGATCACCGTCACGCCTACAAAACATGATCGCCGTTCCTTATATTTTACCGAGAGAGCGTTTCCTCTCTAAATTTAGCGGGCAAACCCGAGGTGGAGTCTAATTATACGACAATTAAACAAATCTCAGCTAAACTAAGGGGGGGAAGGAAGCATTTCGGCTCAATATTTATCTGGAAAAATTTAATTTACACCAATTCATTTTCCGCGCTAAATGTAAGAGGAAAATTGCGCGTTACGCCATGGCTTTACTTTCGTGAAACTATTATTCTTACTTCTTTTTAAAACGAGATCCTAGACCCGTACACACGCTGCGTAACATATTTAGGCAACAAGTAGCAATGTATCGACACGCAAACTTCCTTACTTTCGTAAGAAGTGCCAAAACTTTGCATAACCTAAGGATTAGGGCGAGCTGCTGGTGCTGGCGTAAAAAAACATTACGGAAGGGCACTCAATACTAATCTCATCGAGTTAAGGCTTCAAGGTGGACCTACTCCGTTTTATCTCAAGTACGACCGATCCGACGTAGCCGATCAAGCCTCACCAAAGTGTGTCGAAATATGGCGCTGGTTTCTATTTTGCGTGTGCTGCCACCGACGGAAACAATCAAGCCCAGTGAATGCGGCGTTATTCCTCGCGTGTGATGCGTTTAAGCAATAATGGCAAACTCAGTAAGACGACCAGCTCCGGAGCGACAGAGTTTTGGCGCTGTTTCACGGTCTCCATCAGGTCGTAGCTTCGGTCGGACTTCAATAAAACGGAATCTAGTCATGAACAACCGTTTTCTCGCGGACATGCTCGAGAGCTTAGATGGTGAGCGGGAAGTCATTTCCTACACAGAAAACGTTCAGCACTATACCCAGGTTGAAAAAAAAAAGCAAACGGAGTCCACATCGCGTAAGCGGAAAGTTTTTATTAGGTATAGATCATTGTCCATTCAGGACGCGAGCCAAGTCCTTGACTTCGAGACTGCTCGCAAGTTCGATTATTATCTTTCCGAATAAGAACGTCTCGCTCGTTACGCTTACAAATCGGTGACGATGATTTATTTAGTGTGACGACACACTCCGATTCGGAATGTGTTCGATTTTATGAAAAGTGTGTACTGAACAGCCACGTAATGGAACACGTAATACAACCTAAAAAAAAAAAAAAAAATTAGACCTACGCGGGCTTTATTTTGACGTCATCGTGTTCAGCGAAATCGAGATACATAAACCTATGCGGTGACAAAAGTATGGCCTTACCTCGCACGTAACCAGTTTGCCCCGGGAGTGCAGCTTTTCGCCGTCGCACGCACACTGCAAGCACAAAACACGGACAAATTAGTCGCACAACGCGCAGCTGTACGCGAATTAATGAATACTTCGGGTAAACTTTCGATGAATGCGTATATATTCGAAGCTATAACTATTCATTTTGACAATCTACTCGATAGATTTTGTTCGGTGGTTGACGAAGTGAAAAGGATTAGCGTAATTTAATAGCAATGTCTATGATATTTTCTCCAATTATTGTCGTACATGTTACGAACGAAGTGTTACGTCTTTTTTTTTTATTCCAGGAAAACACGTGTGAGTCAGTCATTACTGTGCAAATAATTATTCGTCAGCATGATAAGACTCGCAAATTATTTACTGATAAAAAGTACTCTGAATCGCTGAAATCGGGAAACTTAAAACGGAGCTATTTTTCTTTATATGGATAGCATCGATACTCTCCGATTGCAAATTTAAAATTCCGAGTGATATTTCTCCACCCGGAAAGTAAGAAGCACCTTATACAATGGTTCATTTTTTTGCAACCAGTGTGCTGAGTACTTGAGTAAACACTGCAGTGCAGGCAGGCTTTAGACCTGCCAATCTATCACTTCAACGGTCACTGGGTCCGAGCCTTAAAAATACTGAACCAACGAGAGGTGTACTTTCGAAAGCGAAAAAAGTCTCACGCTTTGTTCCACGTGGCAAGCTTTGATCCTCGCATTGAAACATATTTATGGTTATTTATTTATTCCTCAGAAACCTAGCACATTTTCGTCTCCTGAACCGTGTCAATACAATATTAGGCTCTTCGCAGATCGATACTAATATTTCTGTTTATGATGTGAGTACAGATACTTGCGTGTGGCCTTTAACTGCGTTTTTTTTTACTCAAAACGTACACGTTTTAACGAAAGCATAACATTGTTTTCTGGCACACGTTTTTATAAGAGGTACTTCGCACCGAATATGTTCTACGCGAACTTTTGTTTTTGCTTTGTCTTTGCAAATTTGACCAGTAGAGAAGCTGCACACTTTGAAAGAGTTTATTATAAAAATCATCTCTTTGAAATCAAAGTTCATTGATGCCGTGTTCCTAAGAAAACTTCCCGACACACGTGATTTGCATTGAACCCTTACCAGCTGCCATTGACATCGTTACAGCAGCCATTACTTGCTGCTGTGCAAGTACTCTGGCAGCATACGTTTGGTGCGAATAAATTTGTTTTTCTCAGCAAGAACGAATAGGGATGACCACCAGCAAGGTGCGACGACGTCACGGACAAGCCATTTATGCCATCCGACAAGGACACCCACAAGCGTTCTGAATTATAGATATTGAGGGCTGCACGTGGCATTAGGTGACGGTTTATCTAATCTCTAGAAGGTCAAAAACTGGGTCTGCTTAATAAAGCAGCAGGTTCTGTGATGCTCAAAAATTACACGCGAGCTCAACAATTTTTTTATTGTTCACGAAGGACTTGTTCAGCCTGAATATCACGATCCACCCAGGATATCACAGGTCAATACATAACCTCAATTCCTATCTCTACTCATCGCCATGCGATATTTTCTAGGCTCTAAATTAAACTACCTGATATTCCCTACTCTAGTCCCCGGACTGTACAGGTTGAAAAGTTAAAAGTTTACCCATTGCGGATGATCTACAGGATCCTATTCTAGGATGTTTTTCTATGGATCGTTCAACGTGACAAGACGATAAGTATTTCATGAAACACAGACTATATTACTGATGATTTATGTATAATACAAGCTTCATTATGAACTGATACAACGGGCATTCGTCAAGGTGAGCTGTGCAAGATAATTTTCACGTTTGGGCTAGGCACTATGAGCGGACTAGTTAAGCAAAAACATTTATTTTTTCCCCCAATGTTTTCATATCGGACTATGCACCAGATACGCACTATAGTACAAAAAATACGGTATTTAGCATCTCATAGGTCAAACTAATTAATCTTAATTCGCTCATTAGGCTTCCTACTTAAAATTTGATACCAGCATAGTCTTGAGGACGTTGTCCTGAATCTTACATGACTGAATTTGTGAAATATGTGTTTATACCTTATACGGTTATACCACATAGATCTCAATCGTGCGAGGCATTCGTCTCTTCTATAATACGTTATAGTTCAACACAGCGCGTCTTAAACAACCGGTGTTTTATTCCTGCTGCTAGCTGCAGATATTTGCGGCAGCTGTGCATTGGCGCTGCCAGAACCAACAATCGGCTTTTGGTTTCCTTTTATTTTGATAACTTCAATCCACCATTACCACAGCAGCGCAGGTTATTGATATTTTTAATTCGACTGTGTCCTTGTCGCCAGCATTGGCCCTTGTCGTCAAAGCCCGCATCAATGGCTTGCTATCTCCGTAAGAAAAGAGAAGGTCAGCAATGGTGGCGGTAATCTGGAGTGTGTACGAAGCGTTTATAAGTAACGATTGAACAAGTTATCAGCAGCGTAAACGCATTGGGGACAAAAGATAAAGAAAGAAAAACAGCACTTCGTTTAAAACAAGTTCAGCACCTGTTTCAATTGGCCCTTGTTTTCTTACAATGTGCCCACGATCGTGCAAAGTCTCTACTAGAATCTCGACTGTTGGTAGGAATCTTTATTAAATTGATTTTGATTTCTAAAAAACCAGGAGTTCCCCAGGGCGCGCTCACTGGATCCTTGAGCTTCCGCCCACAAGTCCAACTGTGATTTTGCGATCCCGTTTAGCATTGTGTTTGTCTTCCTCGAATGAACCCGAATATTATTGTTAATCCATCTGAGAACTACGTTATATGCTCTACGCCACCGGTTGATGCATAACTTCTCTATAGTATGCGCAGTATTGTTGATAAGGTCTGCAGGCTTTTGCACAACCTTATCGCATCAATCCCGAGACCGGCAAGTGTCCTTCGCCTGCCACTAGAGGCAGGTGAAGCTCCCTCCATATCAAAAAGTTAGAAATGCCTCCGCTTTATGGCAAGAAACAAACGAGAGAGCCCATCTCCAAAACATTAATATAGGAAGGGTGTACTCACACGAAAGTACAATATCCACATGGTCCAAAGAGGTTCTAGAAAGAGTTACGTGCCGGACCACCAGGAGGCGAGTTCCCAAAGAGCGTCCTGGTCCCGAGGCGCGCACTCTTCACTGTCGGGCGACGGGCACCCCTTGATGCCCCCACTGCTGTTCGTGTTACTGTCCGCCGAGGCTTCGATGGACCCCGTGTACCCGCACGGCACCCTGTTCTCCTTGGGGGCGCCGAAGGACGCCGAAGACGTCGGCGACGAAGACGCGGAGGACGTGGGGTTCGTCGTCGTCGTGCCGCGCGTCAACTCCAGGAGTTCCTGGAGTTCCTTGATATACTCAACGGCGGAGCGGAGCGTCTCCACCTTGCTGAGCTTCTTCTGCGCGGTCTGGGGCACGTGCTGTCGGAGCGCGTTGAAGCCGTGGTTCACGAGGCGGACCCGGTTCCGCTCGCGCTCGTTGCGGCGCGCCACGGCCGCCGTGTAGGCCGGAGGCCCGCACAGCCCTGGCCCCTGGGGCGAGGACTCCGCCACGCAGCGCTGGTAGAAGAGGGCGACCCGGTCTGGCTTCATGGCAGGGGGTCCCGAAGGCTTCTGTCAGTCGGGGACTCCCGAGTCGGAGCGGCACGCTTGTTTGAAGAGAGGAGCACCTTGACGGGGAAAGGGAGGCGAGGAGGGGTCGGCCAATCACACGGGGGCCCCGCTCGTTTACCTGTCCGTCTCGGTCCCCACCTTTTAACAATTTAAAAGTTGGGCTGGGTACCCCCCTCCAATACCCCTCCCTCTTCTCCCCGATTCTCGGACGGAGATCGTGCGCGCGCTTCTCTTTGACCGGGCCGACGGAGATTAGACTCTCGTTCCGAGATGGCAGCACCAGTTGCTTTCGTGTGGTGCGGCGGGTTGTTTTTCATACCGCTTTAATCCGGGCGTTCGTCTAGTTCAATGAGTGTAGCCATCGTAGTATCGGAATAGGCGGAAAATCCACGGGGGAAACTGTTTGATCTTCTAGCTTGATTTCAAAACACGGCGTGTGTAGCGCGTAAGTGTTTAGGCGTTGCTTAAAAAATATCCGCAAAGCGCGCATCGACTGCGTTTTTGAATTCCTCTGGGGTTTCCAGAGCTGCAGACTGTGATATTTACGCGTCTCCTTTCTACACCTGGTGAACACCGAAAACGGTTTTCACTGTATGGTACTTGTATATCGGGGAACCCCCTTCCAGAAAACGCAGCAATATTGTCTGTACCACGTACCTACATTCGGAATACCGTTTTTCAAGTGCCAGCTGCCGCACTTTGAGCGTTGCATTATCGCTTCCGAAATCTAATGTCTCTTCTACCTTTCTGCCAGAATAAACCCAGACACCGAAGAAAACACATCAAAATGCCAAGTATTCGACCTTAATGCATAAGTACGTCAACTTGACTTTAGTAGTCTTCAAGCGTCATCATCATCATGACGATGGCAAGATGGCCCGTCATTAGGACGATGGCAAGGCAAGTTTGCTCCAGTCAACTTAACGGAAACAGCCTGCTTTATGTGCTCCGAGCAAACTCGTGACTGGTAAACTTTATAACCTTGCTCTAAAAGCTCTCGAAGTGTACAATGCAAACTGTCAGTATAAACTACCTGCTTACAAAAAAGATGGACAATCACTTTCCCACGCAATTGCGGCGAAGGCAGTAGTAACACAGATTGTGGTCGTCGAGGATGTGGAAAAAAAAAGACAAGCTGATTTATTTTCTTCCATCAGGAGTATGTTTCATGCAGAATTTAGTTCTTACGGCTGACAAATATCTGACAGAATGTTCGTACTTCGATTATTGATCATTTAACGCTGCATTCCGTAGTATACGAGGTAATTTTTCTGCGATTGAGTTCAACGCCGGGAGTATAAAAAACAAGAAAAAAGACATATATATATATATTTTTTTTTGCTTATTGTGCGTTCGTTTTTACGTCTTACTTTTTTTTTTTTGTAAACTTGGGTTCCTGAGGCAGTGGTACCCCCTTACTTTGACGATTACAAATGTGTTATTCTAGGTGGACAAAATTGAGATAAAAGGTGGTGGTGTTTTCATACATATGAAAACAAAATGCATTTCATATTGCGTTGTTGATGATTATTTCGTGAGGAGAGTTGACGTGGAGTGCCTTATTATACATGCCGGACATATTATTAGCCTTGTTATTTATAGGCCTCCCACTGGCAGTAAGAGTGAATTTTGTTTTGTTTTAAGAAGACTTGTTAGGTTTTCACAAACTAAACCTCTGAACCATTTTCGATTTGGGGTGATATAAATATTGACCATCTAAAGAGTGATCATCACGGAATGAAGCTCAATAACCTCTTATACACCCGTGGCTGTCCCGATACAGTGACAGTGCCAACCAGACTGACTCTAGAAACGTCTAGTTTAATTGACGTCTGTATAACAAATTTAAACGCCGGAGACGTTACTATACTGGCGTATTCACACAACACATCAGTAATCATATGCCAATTTTTTGTCTGACATCCATCCTTTGTGAACCACACACACGTGAAGCCAAAATGTACACTTGTAGAACAATAAATCACGAATCGCTGGAACATTTTTCTGTAATGGTTGATCAAACAAACTGGGACAGTGTTTTCGGGCAAAGTGACCCCAACCTTGCGTCCGCAAGTTTTTCAAACAAATTTTGGCTTTGTTAGGACGATGCTTTCCCACTCGTACAATAGGAAATAGGCGTAAAAATAAAGTAACAGAATCCTGGATTACCACGGCCGGACTGGGAGCGCGCGCTCTCTTCCTCTTCTTACGGCCTTTGCAATCGCCTGGGAGTCAATGGCATTTTTTCTCCGTATGTAGTTCACTTGCTTGCCGCCAGGGGCGCAACCACCTCGCCCCACCTCGCCCCACTGTGACCCCACTTCACCCCACTCTAAAGGGCCGCCCACACTAGCGAGAAAACGCGCCCGGCGCGCCGATAAATCGGTTAAGCGGCAAGATAAAGGGCGTGTCTCTGCACGTGCTCGTGGCGCTGACTGTGCTTCGGCGACATTTTGTTACTTGCCGCGATCGGCGTGCCACGCGCGTTTTCTCGCTAGTCTGGGTGGCCCTGAAGAGTCCCTTCGCGGTGTTTTGTGCTGGTGTTCGAGCTTCGTAGGTTGTTGTTTTGGCAACTTTGGTCTGGTGTACGTCGGTGGCTATCTGGTGAAACTGTGCGATGCCTGTGTTATGCTGTTGACTACGACTAACAGAGGTGATCCTCTGTTCGTCTTATTGCAAGGCCAGGATAAAAGCGGACTTCATTATCCAAATCCTAGGTTCCTCGCACCTCTGGACAACATTGTTGCTTTTTTTAAGGGTGTTAAGCTCCTTCCGCATTCAAATGTGCACGACGTTCTGCAACTAGATAGGGTGCAACTCATTGCACCCTATCTTGAAGACGCGCCAATCCTAAGTTGCCCAGAGAGCATTGACGACAGTCAATCAAAGCGCTTGGCTGGTTTAATTTGCAACAAGTTCCTCAGAATACTTCTGATTAACCGTGCAAAGACGGTCACGGACAGAAACGAAAAATAAGCTGGATATGTGCACAAGCCCTCGACAAAGCACTTTAGGCTGTAATATGCACTGTGCGAAAATTGTCCACCCTCGTCTAGAGCAGCTGACCGACTTCATGTGCGGCCAATGAAATGATGATGCAGACCACGTCAATAGATAGATTGCGCCTGCTTACATTTCACGAGAGAGTACGAATTATTCATCATTTAAAGATCCTCCACGTAGAAGGTCTCCGTCTCCTCCTGTTCTTGAGTTGCAACAGAAGTCCTGGAGGTAAAGACGAGTATAGTTTTTCCGCAATTGGATTCGCTGTCTCTACTTACTACTTTTTACTCCCGAATTTCTCGGAGATGTGCGCCAAATATTGACCGTTTTGGGCTCATCAGAAGCGCATTAGGTAGTGGCTGAGAGTCTAAACGTAAGGATCAGCTGTCAAAGGCCATAAAAATTTCGGCCACATGTTGCGACTGCGCTGAGATACATTGTCAGACGCGCTTTGTTCAAACGGCAAAGGGTAGCCCAAGGGTGAGGTGTCAGCGCCTCCCGCTAATTGCGGCGGGAGGTGGCGATTGCCCCAATTGCAAAGGCCGTAAGAAGAGAAAAAGAGCGCGCGCTTCCAGTCCGGCCGTGGGATTACTAACAGCTTATACAAGCAATTAAGAAGAAATATAAACTATAGCATGATTTCATTAAGTGTCGGTACCAAAGCCTTCTCATAGAATTAAAAATATATATATATATAACACGGTACAAGTTAAACTCCAATCTTAAAAAAAATCAAAAGCTGGCTATTGTTAAAACTCTTTTATTTTTCTCGAGATCTTCAACAAGCCACGATGAATATAGGAAACTGTAGACGCTATGACTAGCAGAAAAAGAAGCTTCCAAGAAACGCGAAGTGCAACTGTTGACGATAAGAACGTGAGTGGCCAGGAAATGTCGAATTTAATGAATAAGCATTAATAGAAGGTGGTTCACCTTTAATACACGAAACCACCTGGTAGAATTGTGACACAAAAGCGATAACCTCATAATCAAACACGATAATGTTGCTACAAACAACACCATTCCAAGTGGAAAGACTAATCAATAAAAAAAAGAATGTTGCCGCTGGCACAGACGACTTTAAACCAGTGCCCCTAAAATATATCTCGAAATATATATGTCATCTTCTGTCGTAAATCCTAAATGGTACATCAGAAACGGGAATATTTCCTGGCATGCTTAAAATTGTCAAAGTCAAAGGAGGTGCGGTACACATGCAACAGAACAACATAGCGATCTCCGGTTTTCGCCCATATTTTCAAAAATATTCGAAGCGGTTATGAATACTAGACTAGATTTATTTATTACAAAACACAATGTAATAAATAAATGCCAGTACGTTTTTCAAAAATCCAGATCTGCTCAGCAGGCACTCGTTGAGGTAAAAGATAAGATAATAAAAAAAAACATTAAAAATAAGGTATATACTCTAGAGTTATCCTAGATTTTAGGAAAGCTTTTGACACCATACAACATCATATACTATTCATAAAACTTCAACTATATGCCATACGTGGCGTTGCCTTGACTTTAATAAAAAAATAATCTTCAAAATCGTTTGCAGTATGTTGACATTATTAGCATTCTTTCAGACGCACTCCAAGTTGGTTCTACAGGGGTCCATTTTAAGCACCATGTTGTTTATTCTTTATATAAACGATATAACAGCTATTATGGGATCTCTGGACCTTGTCACGTACGCGAGCGACACCAACGCATTTTGTTCTTCTACTTACAAAGTAAAAAGTAAACATTTCAGCAGAAATATTTTGCTTTGTCAAACTATCTCGATCGTCTGCTTCTTACACTCATGGGAACGACCACAACGCATGTTGAAAACACTGTTTGGTGGGAACCACCAAACCACCGACTAGCCCAACTACTGTACCACCGACCCGCCCAACGACATGCTTTGCTATTGGAAACATTGCCCACTTCACTGAACTAGCTTCGAACTTACAAGCGGATGACGACGACAGCCTTGTTTACTTTGATGTAGGGTTCCTGTTTACAAACTCGCAGTGTCCGTCATCAGAACAGCACTTACGTCAGACACGACTCTACCTGAAAGAACCCAACTCTCGGTGAATAAATTCTGCCGCCTACTAGAGCAGTGCCTGACGACCACCTACTTCCCTTTCGTTGTTACTTTCTACGAGGCAAGTAGTGGCACCACCATGGGAGCCGCTGTGCCCGTCATGGTAGCCAACCTCACAATGGAAGCCATCGAGC